TACCTAACTTTAAAACTATATATAAGACAGGCCCGATTAGTCTGCACGTGCACCATATGATAATGGTTCAGGTACTGACCTCAAACCTGTCAGAAAATGCCCTCAGGATACTATTGGAACTGGCCCGCACCCTGCGCACCAGGGATGTGCATCGTTTACGCATGGTGGTGTAGAAACAATCCACACGCGCATCCGCGAACATACCCGGCGCATTACAATAACGAGGTAGACCAAACAGCACCCTGAATGCATTACATAACACGCATTTAATCTGTAGCTTGTACCGCCAAAGATACGAAACGGCAACGTCGCGGCTGCATTCAGCCAATCCGATCGTTTATCTTATCGTTTGCTGTGCTCTGATTGGCTCATTTAAATCGGATCAACATTTTTCGTAACCATTGCAGGGTGGATTTGTATATCGGATCAACTTCGGCCAACGCTAGCAAACAGTCTCGTGAGTGCAGATGTTGATCCGGTCGGTGCCACATTAGTTACTAGAGATGCATATTGGATCAACAAAAGGCGCCGGATCAACATGGGTTTTTGGATCAACAAAGTGCTCGCGTGAAGTCGCGTCTGATCAACATTTACCGTAAAGAGATCTCTATATATATATATATAAAATTTTTATAACTATAAATTGTGCAATTTGAATGAAAAGCATTTCTTGGCGTGCTCAGCAGAGCGGTACAGTATTTCATGCCGGCACACCGCTTGCAACTTTACACGGTGCAGGTTCAGGGCTCATCTCTGTTATGAGGCTCCCCAGTGTCAGTTCTTTTCTTTTGACCGCATCCAGCACAGAGCAGATGGAATCATCGACAATCGAGCTATCTTCGATCGGCTCGATTCATTGGTTCTGTGAAGAGATATTGCATTTTTTTTTTCATTTTCTATCGTATTTACCAACAAAGTTCACCTCGTGTAGTGGTAGGTAAGAATAGCCACTACCCTATATCTTCCCATGGATGTCATAAGAGGCGGTAGAGGCGCAGGGAAACTGAGGCAGATGATGGGCAGCAGCATCTTTCTGATAACAGAAAAGGCATTAAAACTGCTGTTGCCAACCCGCTTGCCAAGCATGGCAACTCTGAAAATATACCTCCCATAAATAAAGACATAATAATAATAATAATAAGTCAAGGATATTTTTGGTCGACATTACCATTCCGTATGACGAGAACCTCGTGAAAGCCGAAACAAACAAGCAAACAAAATATCTGGACCTGGCTCACGAGGTGACCGACATGTGGGGTGAAATTATTCCTGTAGTCGTCTCTGCAAACGGGCTAATCCCAGTCAGCCTCTCGGGTCATCTGAGGCGGCTGGGACTACGTGGCGGACCGCTCCAGGTTCAAATGCAGAAGGCGGTGCTCCTCGATACCGCCCGCATCGTCCGCCGGTTTCTTTCCCTTTCCCCCTAACCCTCGGCCGTTTGGTCTCCCCTGCCGAGGGCCTCCATCTGGTTGGGCTTTTATTTATTTATGTACTTTTATATTTATTTTATGTTATTGATATTTATGTATATTTATTTTTTCATTTTCATTTATAATTATATATTTATAGAACCCAACAAGATGAGAAAACTATATAGATACCCCATAATAATAATAACTTACTGAGCAAATGGCAAATGTGGATGCCGCCGTGAATATGCCAGTTGAGGTGGATTCAAACGATGACGGAACAGTCGCCCAGGAACTGGAACTAGAGCAAATGAGGAGTACATTGGAGGAGGCGATTGTCTCTCGAAAATCGACCGCGACTTCCCCGCTTAGCCCTAAGCAAGCGGAATCGGGCTGTCGTGAGGGCTCTGAACCCAATGCTGGTTACCTATTTGGAAGCCAGCCGGGACCTTTGCGAGACGGACTCAATTCTTTTTGGCGCCGCACTGGCAGTCTGCCGTATTATAGGCGCCAAACTTTCCACGGCTGGACGCGCTACTGGACAAAGTAGTGCTATCCCAGCCTGGAGAATAAGAATTGAAGAACGTATCGCAAAGGCTAGGGCCCTCATCGGCAGACTGATATGCTTCAGGTCAGGCAATACCAGGCCAAGGATTATGCACACCGTCAGGATGGCGTTTGCTGGGACAAATGTTAGTTTGTCCCAGCCGGATATAATGCAAAAACTGACGGAGCGTATAGACGACCTGAAGCAAAGAATAGCTGCTTGGGGAAAGCGGATTCGGCGATATACCGAGAGGTCGACACGGTTCAACCAGAATCGTCTCTTCGAGAGTAATCAGAAGAGGCTGTATAAATCATTGGAGCGACCAATAGTAAGTGGAACGGGCCCGGCACCAAATCAGGCCGACACGGTCGCATTCTGGCGCAGCCTGTGGTCAGAGCCCGTAAACCACAACGAGGGCCCTTGGAAGGAAGTTGTGGCGAGTCAGTGTGCGGGTATTATGCCCATGGACCCCGTCATCATAACGCCGGATGACGTAGCTGAGGCGGTCCGTAGGGCCCCCGAACTGGAAAAGTCCGGGGCTTGACGGGTTGCATCACTACTGGCTGAAGGGGTTCATGGTGTGTCACGCTGTGCTCGCTCAACAGTTTTAAGAGGCTCTCAACCAGAAGTCGCTCCCGAGCCTCTTCACTACTGGGATCACTCATTTGGTTCCTAAAGATCAGGGTGCCACAGACCCGAGCAAATACCGCCCCATCACGTGTCTACCGACTATATACAAAACACTAATATCCATTTTGAGCGCGAGAATCGCTCGTCACCTGGACTCAAATCAGGTGATGTCGCGCGCTCAAAATAAATGTCGAAGCGGCGGTCGTGGAACCAAGGAACCACTCCTCATTGACGCGGTCATAGACAAAGTGGTGAAACGCAACCGTCGGAACTTCTCCGCCGCTTGGATAGTTTACAGAAAGGCATTTGACGCGGTGTCCCATACATGGCTAAAGAGGGTCCTCGAGCTGTACAAGATTGACTGTACAGTTCGAGACTTCCTCGGGCAGTGTATGGGGTAGTGGAGTACGATCCTCTGTCATCTGGGCGAGCGGATGACCGCCGCCGCATAAGGATAAGAAGGGGTATATTCCAGGGCGACTGTCTGAGTCCAATCTGATTCTGCCTCTCTTTGAACCCTCTCAGTACTTTACTGGAGGGCTCCGGGAGGGGATTTCAGCTTCGGAAGGGAGGTACAAAAGTAACCCACCATTTCTATATGGATGACCTCAAATGATTCGCCTCCAGTCGCTCCCATATTATGGAATTGCTAAACATCACTTGTGAATTTAGCAATTCTATTGGAATGGAGCTGGGGACGGATAAGTGTGCGGTTCTCCATGTTGAAAGGGGAAGGATTGCTAGCTCTGAGGGCATAGACTTATCTATGCTCGTTAACTTAAGGGCCCTTTCCGGGGCTGAAACATACCGATACCTGGGTATGTCACAGAACATCGGTATCGATGAAGCTGGTATGAAACAGTCAGTTTGCGACGTGTTTTATGCACGCTTGACCAAAGTACTTATCAGGCTTTTGTCCGGTGTGAATAAGACACATGTATATAACGATTGGGTCATTCCTATCCTCATGTATACCTTTGGCATACTCAGGTGGAGTCAGACTGAACTTAACGCCCTGGATAGAAAAGTCCGCACTACAATGACGTCCCATAGGATGCATCATCCGAGATCGTCGGTAATGAGGCTGTACTTGCCGCGAAAGCATGGTGGGCGTGGCTTCCTGAGCGCGCTCACCATACATAATCGCGAAGTGTGCAGCTTCCGTCATTACTTGCTGGCGAGATCGGATGATCCATTCTGTAATGACGTCATTTCTAGTGATAAAGGACTTACCCCTCTATCCTTAGCCAACGAGCAATGGCAAGACCCAGCATTACAGAGCATTTCCGAACGGGAGACCGTAAGGAAGGAGAAGTAGCTCCATGGGAGGTTCTACAGGGCTCTACATGAGCCTCACGTAGATACAGCCGCCTCCCTCAGCTGGCTACGTTTCGGTGACCTCTTCGGGGGAAACCGAGGGTTTTGTCTGTGCAATACAGGATCAGGTTATTAAGACCAACAACTATTGGAGATACATCCTTAAGAATGGAACTGTCGACGTCTGTCGAGCTTGTCGCCATCCCGGGGAGTCACTTATGCATGTCATCTCCGGTTGTTCGGCGCTTTATAACTCTGAGTACTTACACTGGCACAACGTAGTAGCCAGAATTCTACACCAGGAGCTCGCTCTGAAATACGGTCTCGTGGACCGGAAATTGCCGTATTACAAGTACTTGCCGGAAGCCGTGCTCGAAAATAACAGCGCCAGGCTCTACTGGGACCGGGCCATCATCACAGACAGGACTATTCTTGCGAATAAGCCTGATATTGTGCTGATGGACCGGGCACAGTCAAGGATATTTTTGATCGACATTACCATTCCGTATGACGAGAACCTCGTGAAAGCTGAAACAGATAAACAAACAAAATATCTGGACCTGGCTCACGAGGTGACCGACATGTGGGTGTCGACCGAAATTATTCCTGTAGTCGTCTCTGCGAATGGGCTAATCCCAGTCAGCCTCTCGGGTCATCTGAGGCGACTGGGTCTCCGTGACGGACCGCTCCGGGCTCAAATGCAGAAGGCGGTACTCCTCGATACCGCCCGCATCGTCCGCCGGTTTCTTTCCCTTTCCCCTAACCCTCGGCCGTCTGGTCTCCCCTGCCGAGGGCTCCCATCTGGTTGGATCTTATTTATTTATGTAGTTTTTGTATTTATTTAATTTTATTGATATTTATGTACATTTATCTTTTCATTTTAATTTATAATTATATATTTATAGAACCCAACCAGGTGAGAAATTTATATAGATACCCCAAATAATAATAATAAGGCGTAGGGAAGTGAGGATCCTATCGCCCGCTGACGAACGGTTATGTGACAAAACCAGTACGTCAGCGCAGTCAGTCAGCACCTTGCCGAGAGGTGTTAGTGCCATGCCTCGGCAAAAATTTAAGGTGCAAAGGCCCGCTTGTGCTCATGGCCTCACCATGAATCGGCACCGGGTCTGGACGTCTCCCGCTAAATGATGGCCAACACTATGGATGATGGAATACGGAAGAACGCGCAAAAGGCCGCTGCCTGGAGGTCTACCGTCTATAGGAGTGTCTACCGACTATATACAAGACACTAACATCCATTTTGAGCGCGAGAATCGCTCGTCACCTGGACTCAAATCAGGTGATGTCGGGGCGGCGGTCGTGGAATCAAGGAACCACTAAAGTGTGGCAAAGTGGTGAAACGCAACCGTCGGAATTTCTCCGCCGCCTGGATAGACTACAGAAAGTCATTCGACTCGGTGCCCCATACATGGCTAAAAAGAGTCCTCCAGCTGTACAAAATTGACTGTACAGTTGGAGACTTCCTCGAGTAGTGTATGGGGCAATGGAGTACGATCCTTTGCTATCTGTGCGAGCGGATGATGGCTGCGGAGAACCACAAAAGGATAAGAAGGGGTATCTTCCAGGGCGATTGTCTGAGTCCAATCTGGTTTTGCCTCTCCCTGAACCCTCTCAGTACTTTACTGGAGGGCTCCGGGAGGGGATTTCAGCTTCGGAAAGGAGGTACAAAAGTGACCTACCTTTTCTATATGGATGACCTCAAGTTATTCGCCTCCAGTCGCTCCCATCTTATGGAATTGCTAAACATCACTTGTGAATTTAGCAGTTCTATTGGAATGGAGCTGGGAACGGATAAGTGTGCGGTCCTCCATGTTGAAAGGGGAAGGGTTGCTAACTCTGAGGGCATAGACTTATCTATGCCCGTCAACTTAAGGACCCTTTCCGAGGCTGAAACATACCGATACCTGGGTATGTCACAGAACATCTGTATCAATGAGGCTGGTATGAAACAGTCAGTTTGCGACGTGTTTTATGCACGCTTGACCAAAGTGCTAAACAGCCTTTTGTCCGATGTGAATAAGACACACACATATAACGGTTGGGTCATGCCTGTCCTCATGTATACCTTTGGCATACTCAGGTGGACCCCGACTGAACTTAACGCCCTGGATAGAAAAGTCCGCACTACAATGACGTCCCATAGGATGCATCATCCGAGATCGTCGGTAATGAGGCTGTACTTGCCGCGAAAGCATGGTGGACGTGGTTTTCTGAGCGAGCTCACCATGCATAATCGCGAAGTGTGCAGCCTCCGTGATTACTTCCTGGCGAGATCGGATGATCCATTCTATAATGACGTCATTTCTAGTGATAAAGGGCTTACCCCTCTATCCTTAGCCAAAGAGCGATGGCAGGACCCAGCAGTGCTTAGCATTTCTGACCGGGAGACCATATGGAAGGAGAAGGAGCTCCACGGGAGGTTCTACAAGGCTCTTCGTAGACACACAGTAGCCTTCCTCCACTGGTTACGCTTTGATGTTCTCTTCGGGGAAACCGAGGGTTTTGTCTGTGCAATACAGGATCAGGTTATTAAGACCAACAACTATCGGAGATACATCCTAAAGGATGGCACCGTGGACATCTGTCGAGCTTGTCGCCATCCCGGTGAGTCACTTAGGCATGTCATCTCCGGTTGTTCGGCGCTTTCTAACTGTGAGTACTTGCACAGGCACAACCTAGTAGCCAGAATTCTTCACCAAGAGCTCGCTCTGAAATACGGTCACGTGGATCGGAAATTGCCGTATTACAAGTACTTGCCGGAAGCCGTGCTCGAAAATGATCGCGCCAGGCTCTATTGGGACCGGGCCATCATCACAGACAGGACTATTCTTGCGAATAAGCCTGATAGTGTGCTGATGGATCGGGCACAGTCAAGGATATTTTTGGTCGACATTACTTCCGTATGACGAGAACCTCGTGAAAGCCGAAACAGACAAGCAAACAAAATATCTGGACCTGGCTCACGAGGTGACCGACATGTGGGGTGTGCAAATTATTCCTGTAGTCGTCTCTGCAAACGGGCTAATCCCAGTCAGCCTCTCGGGTCATCTGAGGCGACTGGGACTACGTGGCGGACCGCTCCGGGCTCAAATGCAGAAGGCGGTGCTCCTCGATACCGCCCGCATCGTCCGCCGGTTTCTTTCCTTTTCCCCCTAACCCTCGGCCATTTGGTCTCCCCTGCCGAGGGCCTCCATCTGGTTGGGCTTTTATTTATTTATGTATTTTTATATTTATTTATATGTTATTGATATTTATGTATATTTATCTTTTCTTTTCATTTATAATTATATATTTATAGAACCCAACCAGATGAGAAAACTATATAGATACCCTAAAATATAATAATAATAATAATAATTATAGGTCAATGTCATATATTAATTATTATTCTTACGTCAATAATTATATAATGTTAAATATATATGACATAAATAAGTGACCCTCAGTCCCTGACGACAGTGGCGACCTAGATAACGGCGAGACAGTGGGTGCTAATTATCTCTGGTAAAGAAAGTTTCGGCTGCCACCTAAGACGACTCGATCTGGCAACATATAACGCACATGCCTTGAGGA